CCAAATATTTTTTCCATTCTGCAGGTTCTCTTTTTACTCTTTTGGAGAAGTTTTTTTGATGCACATAAGAATTTAATTTTTAGAAGGTCCTGATTATCTAGTTTATCTTCTGTTATTTGTATATCTTGGGTTATGTTTGATAGTCTATTTATGCCATAAGTTAGGACCCCTAAGATAGCCCCTATTTCTTTTTTGATGAACTTTATAGTTTTTGGTTTCACGTGTAAGTCTTTGATCCATCTAGAGTTAGTTTTAGTGTATGGTGCAAGGTATGGATCTTGGTTCATTTTCCTACAAATGGATATCCAGTTTTGGCAGCACCATTTCTGAAAGAGACTTATGTCTTCTCCATTTAATAAATTTCAGCCCTTGGTCAAACGTCAGCTGACCATAGATAAATGGATTGATTTCTGGCTTCCATTTTATTCCATTGGTCTATGTGTCTGTTGTTGTACCAATACCAGGCTATTTTGGCAACTGTGGTTGTGTAGTAGGTTTTGAGATCTGGGAGTGTGAGACCTCCTACTTTGTTCTTCTTCTTCAGTAGTGCTTTGTTTATCTAAGGTCTGTTTCCTTACCATATAAAATTAGTGGTTGAAACTGCTGTATGGAAAGTGAATTTGCTCTAAATCTTCACCCAAATCACAATTTAAAAAAATAGTGGTTGATTTTTCCATGTCATTAATGAATGTTGATGGAATCTGGATATATGAATGTATAGATTGCTTTTGGTAGTATTGACATTTTCACAATCTTCAATCTTCCCAAGTATGTTATCTTTTTGGTAGCTATTGAAAACGGTGTTGATTTCCTTACTTCCTTTCCAAAGACCTCTTTGCTGGTATAGAAACCTCCAGCTGATTTTTGTATGTCGATCTTGTATCCTGACACTGTGCTCACTCTTTCAACAAGTTCCAGTAGTTTTCTTGCTGAGTCTCTTGGGTTTTCTATATATAGGATCATATCATCTGCAAATAAGGATAGTTTTAGTTCTTCCTTACCAATTTGGATGCTTTTGATTTCCCTTTCTTGCCTTATTACCCTGGCTAGGACTTCCAGTAGAATGTTGAATAGAAGGGCATACTTGTCTGGTTTCTGTTTGCAAGGGGAATGGTTTCATTCTCTTTACATTGAGATGAATGTTGGTTGTTGGTTTTGCATATATGCCCTTTATTATGTTGAGGAATTACCCTTCTATTCCTATTTTTCTGAGAATTTTTATCAGGAATAGATGTTCGATTTTATCAAATGCCTTTTCTGCATCTATTGATATGATCATGTGATTCTTTTCCTTTATTTTACTTATGTGATAGATTACAGCAGTTGTTATTCTAATGTTGAACCATCCTTGCATACCTGGTATGAATCCCACTTGGTCATGATGTATTTTTTTAAATATATTGTTGGAGTCTATTGGCTAGGATTTTGTTGAAGATTTGGTCATGTCAGAAGGGACCATTCCCCAGAGAAGGATATCATGCTTGGTAAAGTGGAGGGTCAACAAAAAAGGAGAAGGCCCTCCATGAGATGGATTGACACAGTGCCTGCAACAATGGGCTGAGATTAGCAAGGATTGTGAGGCTGGTACAGGACTAGACATTCTGTACCAGACATTCATTCTGTTTTGCATAGTGTCACTCTGAGTTGGAGCCAACTCAACAGCATCTAACAATAACAACATATTCATGAGGGATATTGGCCTATAGTTTTCCTTTCTATTGTGTCTTTGCTAATGGCAGAATTTCAAACAGCATGAAAGGAGATAAAATGAGGATTGAAAATACCCTGATCCCCAGTCTTCTGAGTCCAAGGCACAAGTGCTGCCAGTGGTTTCCTTGCTGGCCCTGCACACATCCACATCCACATACGTGCATGGAACTGTGGGTGAGGAGTCTCAGGGTGCTAGGATGTGGGTGCCCCCAGTGACCCAGCACAGAACAGGGGCTGTTGCACCACTACTGCTGAGTGAAAGGCCACATACACATGGCCTCGGGGAACAGTTCCACATAGGCAATATACAGTTCCACATAGGCAATATTATCCTGATGCATCAGTGGCCCTCAGTGGCCTTCAGGTCAAGTAGCCTTTACCTTCCCCATGACCCAACCACTCTTTTCTGGATATCTGCCGCACAGATGTGGACTGAGTCATACAAAACTGTTTGACCAGGATGCTCACAGCAGTTCTGCTTATAAGGGTGTCCACCTTGAGAAGCTCTGACTACAGGAAAGAGAGTTTCCAAGTATGAGAATTGATCCATTGGGAGGTAGCCTCAAGGTTGGTTCTGTACTGAAGACAGGGTCATGTCTCTGCAAGTAGTTCCCACAGCGTAGTTCTCACCTGAGCCTGGTTCTCACCTGTGTTAGTTAAGGTTGGGTGTTAACTTGCCTGGGTCATGGTTCTGAGTGGCTTGGCACCTGGATGAATTTATTCCCTATGATAAGATTGTAATAACCTTCTTCATAGAATCTGCTATGAGACATTAATCAGTGGAAAGGGACCTGCCTATGGAATGTGGCCCACTTGCAGTACATAAAGAGAAGTTTTGGGAATGGTCTCTAGCTTTTGGCACATCTGGACCTTGCATTTAGCCAAGTCTTGGCCTGTCATGTTGACTGCCAGTCTTGGGATTGTGCCATTTTACCTATTGATCTTGGGTTCATCAGTCTCAGCAGCTAGCAGCTTTGTGAGTTAGAAAAGCTTCCAGCTCCAGTGGGCCTGGAACAGGAAATAGAGCTAAAGCCCCAGTTCAAGGGGCTTTCACCCAGCACCTACAGCTGGCATATTGAACTAAGACTTCTAGCTTCTTAAACTTAAGATAATAAATTCCTGTTTGTTAAAGCCATCCACTTGTGGTATTTCTGTTATAGCAGCACCAGAGAACCCTGACATAGAAGCAAGAGAAGGGCCTAGGAAGAGGCCTGTGGTTCCAGGGTTTCTTTTCTTGCTTTCTTTCTTTTTTTTTTAAATTGTGCTTTAGGTGCAAATTTACAGAGCAGAATTTGGTTTATATTCAACAGTTAATGTACATTTGGTTTCAGTCCCCAACCATAACCAACTCTTCACCTCTCCCTTCCCAGTGACCCCCATCCCTGTGCCCTTCTTATTTATGCAATCCTGTCTGTCTAGCTTTTCCTCCATGTGAATGTTGTCCCTCTAGTGCCCCATGGCTGATTGTGCCAAGGGATGTATCTCTGTAGAGTAGGTGGGTGCATCGCCCTGGGTTGGGTGTTCTGCATGTAAGTCTTACTATACTGTTGGGCTGAGAGCCAGCCCTTGGGAATGAGTTTTATCCCAGGCCCAAAGTGTATCCCAGGGCCATAGTCTTGGGGGTCCCACCAGACTCCTTCTGACCAGTAATTCTGGTCATTGTTGTGTTTTTTGATTATGTTCCACATTATTCCTCCCACTTTATCCAGGATCTCCAGTTTTCATTCCTTCCTGAGTGGTTGGCATTGGTACCCAAGCACCATCTAGTTCTTCTGGTCTCAAGGTCCATCATATCCTGGGACTGATTGTTTCTCGGTGCCCTTGGTTTTTTTCACTCCATTGAAAGGAGACCATTAGCTGCTTCTTACATGGCCACTCAAAAGCTTTTAAGACCCCAGTAGCTACTCATCAAAGTAGGTTGTGGAACAAGATGTTTATATATTATGTTGTGCCGGTTGAGCCTGGTGTCCCTCAATACTATGGTCCTGTTCCAGGGTTTCTCATCGCAGACCACAGAGCTGGGTCATGTGCCATCCAGGCGAATTAGAGGGGGCTAGAAAGCCTTCCTTCTACCAGCAGCTTCACATGAGACAGTGGAGGATGCAGACCAAAATAGACTATAGAGGTGGCTAGCAGGGAACACAGAGAGAACAGTGTGGAGGTTCTCAGAAGTGTACATTGGAAAAGAGTGCTACTCAGACCCACGTGCAGGGTGGAGTCCCCTGCTGTGACCACTATCTCTGCATTTGCAGGGCTCCTGTGTTGCAATGATATCTACTCATGAGCCTGTGCTCCCCTTACCTCCACCCCTGCTATGGCTCTAGTCAGGATTTTTTTTTTACCAAATAAAGTCATGGGCTTCTGTCTAGAGCCAACTTGTTCCAAAAATGAAGATCTGGGCCTGCTCAGAATCTCACTCAAGGGATGAGCAGGGTCACCTCTGGGGAAATGGACAGGATGGATGCAGCTTTTACTTCATTCACATCAATAGTTTGGCTCTCTGCCCCCAGCCCCCCCAACCCCCAGTGTGTACTATTGTTATAATTATAAAAGCTAATTAGAAAAAACCTATTTTGGTTCTCTAGTGCTCTATAACAGAAATACCACAAATGAATGACTTTAACAAACAGGAATTTATTCTTTTACAGTTTAGGAGGCTAGAAATCCTAATCCAGAGTGCCAGCTGTAGGGACTGGGTGAAGGCCCCTCAACTTTGGGCTTGACCTAGGACTCTGGTTCTGGGCCCACTGGAGCTGGAGGCTTCTTCTGACTCAGGCAGTTGCTGGCTGCTGAGGCTGATGAACCCAAGGTTGGCAGGTAAAATGGCACAACCCCAAGATTGGCAGGCAACATGGCAAGCCACTGGTTCAAATCCAAGAACAATCCCAAGGTTGGTAGGCAACACAGATGATTCAAGTCCAGGAACTGGAGATCAAGACTTGGCCAAACACAAGATCCAAAATGTGCCAAAAAGCTAGAAACCTTTCTCAAATCTTCTCCTTTGAGGAGAAGCAGGCCATACCCGAAGGCAACTACTTAACTGCTCATAGCACATTCCATCATGGAGGTGATTACAATCTCATTATGTAAAATAAGTACATTCAGCTGCCCAGCCACTCAAAACCATGGCCAAGCAGAATTGACTCACAACCTTAATTACTACACAAATCAATAGCTTAGACTCTTGACAGGAAGAAGGTCTGTGTCTGGCCGCTGGGGTGACATGTGCACCCCTGCCGGGCACGGGCATGTTGACTTCAAACTGACCAGAGCTGTTTTACTCCTTGCAGCTTGAGTCCAGAAAGCCTTCCTCTAAAACGAGGCGAGAGAAAGAGAGGCAGAGCTGCAAGAGCTGCGGGGTGACCTTCCACTCCATCACCAAGAGGCGACACCACTGCAAGCAGTGTGGAGCTGTGAGTTCAGGGTGCAGGCACTGCCCATGAAGGCGAGGAGAAAATGAGGGAGGTGTGGGGCCAATGTTTGTAGACTCTGAAAGCCCTTGAGACCTGTGCTTCACAGATGAGCAGAGACACAACTCTAAGTGCATGTAAAACAGCTTCCTCTCAAGTAGAGACTCAAGTCATTTCCCTGGTTGGCTTTGAGCCCCAGACACTCATTATGGTAGAAATAGTGCTAGGTTTGGGGCTACAGACTGGAACTCTGCATCTGAAAACAGTGCTGCCAGCTGCTGGCCAAGTGGGCTTGAATCAAATAGAGACCACTTCACACTCACGAGGCTGGAAAGAGGCACAGGGAGATACCAGGCAACCCAAGGTGGGAGCACCATCCTGATGGAATTGACTACCCCTACTTATTCATTCATCAAAGCTCCTTTCCTGAGGATGGACTGTCCCCAAGAAGGTTTGTGGCTGATTCAAATATTTTTAAATGATGCCATTAATAATTGAATACTGTGTTAGCAATTACAGCTGCCTTGAGAAAAGGATAGGGCTGCTTCCCAAGGTAGGTCTGGGCCTAGAGTGATACTCCTGTCACACCCTTCACAGAGCAGGACCAAGCCAGATGGAAGAATGAACAGATGGATGGATGAAACTAAACCAGGCCTGCCCTTCATTAAATATTCCAGACCTTTTTACTACTCTGGATCCCATCCCACCCCAACCACCAGCAACCCCTCCATTCTCTACCCCAGCTGATAATTTGGTCTCAGTAAAACCATTATCTCCAGTAACACAAGCACCTCCAACCCAGTGTGTTATTCCATTGTGACACATCCATGTTGTCCCCTGCCAGAGTAAGAGAGCCTTAAGAGTAAAGGCCATGGCCCGTGCAGACTCCCTCAGCCTGTCCATGCTAACACTACACCTCTGGAGGTTGCTGTGCAGGCTTTATTTCTCAACCATATCTATATCATGGCTACCCTTGGCAAATGTGGCCACAGAGTAGGCCACACTCCTCCCAGTCATCTTTCTTTTTATCAAATCTTGTTTTCCATGGCCCTGCCTATCACCCAACTATAAGAAGAAACTTGCTCAGCCTACCTGAAAACCATGGGGGGACCACACAAAAGAACTCTCCTCTACACTCTGGTGGGCTTCCTCCTGGTCTTTTTTCCGTGCACACATACCATTGGACTCTACTGCACAGACAGGGAGGATGCCTGGTGGGCACAGCCTTGGGTCCTCCTTCTTAGCCCACCCTACCCCATTCAGTCTGGGACCTCTGGCCTTTCACCCCTTCCTGGTGACAGTGTCCCATCCCCAGGAGTCGGAGTCACAGGCGGCCTCTATTTTGCAGGTCATCTGTGGGAAGTGCTCCGAGTTCAAGGCTGAGAATAGCAGGCAGAGCCGGGTTTGCAAGGAATGTTTCCTGACCCCGTCAGCAGGCCCTGACAGCCTTGGTCCTGAAGTGCTCATTGAGCCCAAGAAAGGCACAGAGGTGGGTGAGCCACGAGGGCCTCCACAGACATACCTTCTCCTTCAGCAGCCTAAGGAGGCTCTCGTTCCCTTGGGCCCAACACAAATGTGGGTGTCTCAGTGAGGTCCACAGGCCATAGGGAAAAAGATGAGCCTGTGCGACACCTTACAACTGAATGCAGGATTGTGCATGGTGGGGGAGGAGGGGCACTAGGGGTGCAGGGGTGCTCTCTAGTCCCCAGCATAGCCTGCAGGCCATGGACCATCTGTTCCCAGGGGATAGATCAATGACAAATATCACTGGATTGGAAGATGTGGCCTGGAGCTGCCCATCCGAGGAAACATGCCGTTCATCCTTGGCAGGGCAGGTGAAAGAGACCTCCACACCCTGTACAGGGACCCCTCTTCCACCTCCTCCTCCCTGATTCCTTCTGAGGACAACCCCCTTCCCAGCTCTCCTTCCACACAGGCAGAGTCTTGGAAAACTGAAAAAGAGAGAGTGGTTTTCCACACAGGAACACTCTTCTCCTCACTTGAGACAAGCCCACAGTTCTTAATACTTGCTGCATGCTACAGTATTCCAGGAAGCTCTTTAAAACACTCATCTCCCACACCTAAGATTCCTATTACAGGTCTGGGAGGGACTGCCTCCACGTACAGGTGGACCACTTGGCAGGTGGTATCTGAGATGCAGGGAGCTTCCAGATGACCTAGGGGTTTGTTTTCATAATTCTTCCTCAATATATTAGAAGAGAGGGAAAGGTGTGTATCTATGTGTGTACATTTGTGTATATGTGCATGCATGCAAGGGATATGTGTGTGCAAGGTGTGTTCATGCATATATGAAGTACACATATACTATGTGGACACATGGTATATGTATGTGTGTATGTGTGCATGTGTATGTGCATGCATGTGTATGTGTGTCTTGTATGTGTGTGTGTGTGTGTGTGGTATGGTTTGTGTGTACCTGGTATGTGGTATATACCAAATTGCAACAATGCCATAAGCCTCTTTATCTCATAAACACACTCTGGTATTTTCTGTTCCATTTTTTTCCTATTACTTTTTAATGCTGGTCCTGGCCCACACCATTGATTCAATGTCCCAGCCTGCAATTTGTGAAACCCCACTCTATACCAAGCAGCCCTGGGCCTTTCAGAGTGAAGGTGACCTAGAGCTTGTTTGGCCTGGTTAGAGCCTCTCTCCTGCACCTCTCTCGGAAGGAAGATGGGGCAATCTACTTCCGTAGTGATACTGCCTCAGAAACACAAGGAGCGGTCGCTATGAGTCAGGTCTGACTCGACAGCACATAACAACAACAACAACCTGCACCTCTCTCATCAGGCATGCCTCACACAGGCCTTCATCATGTTTCCGAGGCCTGTTACTTTCCTAGCAGAGTCCTTACAGAGAAAGAACTAAGAATGCAGATGAGGAAGCATCCTAACTGGTCCTTTCTATGTCCACAGAAGCTGCCTGCTGCAGACCCCCAGCACAACTTGCTCTGTGGCACCCTGCAGCTGTCAGAAGATGGCAAGGTCTGGAGTGAGGTGTGGGCTGCCATCCCCAGGACAGACCCACACGTGCTGCACCTTCAGGGAGGCAACCAGGTGAGTATCGCCACTGCCTTAGAAGGCTATGGGGAGAGGGGGTTGTGGGAACCAGCTGATGTGCTCAATGCAGCCCAGAACCTAAGTGAGGGAGGGAAAGAATGTCCTGAAGAAAAGCCAGTGGTATAGATACCAAGCCATGTTGCTAGGACCAGGCTTTCAGTGCAACCTGGTCAGACCTAATGTAGGACCTCAGCTTCCATAGCTATAGACCTTGCTGCACGTGGTGAGGACTGATGGTATCTGCAGGTTTTGTAGGGAGGGACATGACCTGGCCAGGATTACCCAGCTGGACCACAGAGCTGCCTCTCCATGCCTGGCCTGTCCCCAGGTATTCCCATCCCTCCTTGGCCATCCCACCTCTCTCACTATTTCAGTCCTGCAGAGTATGTCCTAGAAACGAGGCTCTCAATTGAAATCCTAGAATTGGTCCTATACTGCCCAACACCCCTTGGACCTGGTAAACCTAGGGACAGATGCTGCTGGTCCCAGGAGGGTAGACAGGTGCCAGACCTATTTATCAAGTTTTAAGTCAAGGTCTGAGGAGCTCTGGTAGCATAGTGCCTAAGGCACTTGACTGCTAACCAGGAGGCTGGTGGTTCAAATCCACCAGCCACTCCTCGGAAGAAAGGTTGGGCAATCTACTTCTGTAGTGATACTGCCTCGGAAACCCAAGGAGGGGTCGCTGTGAGTCAGGTCTGACTCAATGGCACAAAACAACAACAACAACAAGTCAGAGAAGACTTCTCATGAAGACATCCTTCTGATTGTCCTCAGAGCCTCAAGACTGCTGGGTTTGGGCCAGATGTCCAGCGTTCTCCTTGGTGGGTTCATTTAGGGACATAGTAGTTTGTGGCCTCAGAGCCTTACCTTTGGCTGCCTGCCTGCAGGCCCTAGGGCCTGAGCTTGCCAGAGACTTTTCCCTGATCCTGGACCACTTTTTCCTTTGTTAGATTTATTTTAAAGGGAACTTTTAAATGTCACTCCTCTGAGTGGAGACCCAGTTGAACTCTCCAGAGACAACTAAAACACACACCCCCAGGGAAAAAAAAAAAAAATCACTGAAGTCTGGCTTGGCTTTGATGTCCCCAGCCAAGACCACATTCCCTGCCATGCCCCACTGCCACTGAGAAGAAGTCCCCCATCAAAAGGTCAGGAGCAGGGAAAGGCTCAGCATTCCCCTGGGAGAGTGGGGCTCTAGTGCCAACCCCACTTCTACCCCGCCATCCCTCTCCTTCCCACACACTGGAGCAAGAGTAGCACTAGGACCACCAGACCCCTGAGGAAGGACAGGGAGAGGGGGCTTTCTTTCCTGCCTGTATTCATTCATCCCTTCACCACTCACTCATCATCCCTGTTGGTGGGAGGAGAGGGTAAAGGTAGGGTGGAAGAACCCAACTGCCCCCCATAGAGGGAGAGGCTGGGACTAGCTCCTCAGAGGGAAGGAGGAAGGAAAAGAGGGACATTCCCAGACAGGCTCCTATCCCAGCCAGGTCCCAGGCAGGTTTCTGTGGCCTGGGAAAGAAGGAGCGGTTGATCTCAGGATCTCTCAGCAAGTTCTTTGCCCAGCAGAAGGGTCCTTGCAACTTCCTATGAGCCCCATGTGCTGCTTCCTTGTGTTATGGGTGGTCTCTGCCTGCTTACCTGAGGGGCTAAGGGTAGTCCAGGGTGGTCTAAGGGTGGGTAGGGGTCTGATGGTCCCAGTAATCTCATCAGGTAGGTGCTGTTAAAATGAGAGGCAGCTGGCAGAGGAGGAAGAGCACTGCTAGGCCAAGGCAGGGTGGGCATCTCACCAGTCCAGGTCAGTGCCTACCCTTCCACTGATGAGGAAGTGGCCTGGAGTAGGCTGCCCCAGTGGGGATGCTCACCCATCCCTCCTTACTGTAGGATGGACAGCCACCCCGGACCATTGCCCTGCCTAGCTGCAAGGTGAGCACCCCAGAACCCACAGAGAAGCCTGACTCCAGGCATATACTGAAGCTGCACCATGCGTACTTGTGCCTGTACCTGGACATGCAAACCGCCGAGCTGCAACAGCAGTGGCTGGAGACCCTCAGTGATGCCACCCAAGGGGACCTGGCACCGCCCAGCCTGGGGATGCCATAGCCCTAGGTCTGGTGGGCACAGAGCTCCATGAGCCCAGTCTCAAGTCAGCCACCTGGATGTAGCCCAAGATCCCTCCAGGACCCATCTCTGTGGGGCTCTGCCTGTTTCTCCCACCTGGCTTCTTGCAGCCTCTGGGTGCCATTGGATGGGTGACCAGCAAAGCATTGATGTGGTGCAGCCATGTCACCGGCCTGACTTCTGTAGCCTACCCACCACTCACACCCCCACATTTGCCCCTGTGCTCACTCTACCAGGTGAAGGAGTTGGGACTGATGAGAGGGACTGGTGGGCCAGCTCAGATCACAGACCCAGGACCCAGAGCCAGGACATCTGGCACTGTAGAGGCCCCCATTTTAAAGGTGATAAAACAGGCCCAGAGAGGAGTGGCCACATGCCCAGTGTCACCCAGCACATCTTGCAAAGAGCAGTGTAGCTGGTGGGGGGTGGGGGTGGAGGTTGGACTGTTAATAAAAATTGTCTAAGGGTCATAAAGTACAGAGCTAAGGAGGAAGCCATGGCTGTGCATACAATGGTCTGGGCTCATCTCTAGGCCCTGCCCTACTGGTGGACAGTCACACTGCCTGTTACCAAGTACATGCAGCTACCCCACAAGGTGGATGAGAGAGCCCATGTGCAGCTCTACAACTTCTACTGCCCCATCTACATCAGGTAAAACTGAGCATGACTCTGGATCCCAACTTCTCTTGACTCCAGATCCTTCCTTTGTCCTTGAGGGCCTGTGGGAGAGTGGTGTCCCCTCCTCTACCTCACAGCCCATTGCCCAGTGCTGGGAAGAAGGGTGGCCACCTGGGCCAGACACACTGTCTCTGCTGTCCACAAGGGCTGGATGAGTAGGTCTGGGTGAACCTGCTTGATGTCTAGGAAACCCCTCAGATATTGAGTTCCCTCTGTGAACTGACATACAAGACAAATAAATGCTGGCAGCCAGCAGGAAGGTTGTCAGCAGGAAGGCTGTTGTGTTGGATTGGGTTCTCTAGAGAAACACAAAAACCAGCAAAGTGTATATATATATTTATAGAGAGAGAGAGAGAGAGAGATTTATCTTAGGTAAATGGCTCACAGGCTTGTAGAAGCCGACAAGTTCAAGCTGAA